CATTAAATTTTTTTTTTCTTTTTCTTATGTTCTTAAGGTTAGAGGAAGATTATAGATTTTTTTTTCTTTTAATGATACAACACGGAAGCTTTCAAAATTCTTCATGTTGACAGCTGAAAATGTTATATGAACATTTAAATTTATCTGTGAAATGGACATTTTGTTATTGCAATAATAAGATGTTGATATCTGTTATCATGGAGAGGTGAAAGATGAAAAGTAAATCAAAACCTCTCACAATATGTTAAATTTGCATTTGTTAATTTTGTAATACATTTTTTTCCGAAAAAAAGGCATAAAGATTATTAATTTGTATTGAATGTATCAACTTTATATCAATTGAAGCGCAAAGATTTAACTTTTAATTATTTTGCTCCTATTTTACAGTCAAACTTTATCATTCAAATATTCAAATATTTTAAGGTTTTGTTAAGATGTGCACTTAATTAAAACCTAATATGAGCTAAAAATTTATTAAATTTAAAGGCTACATAATTAATATTATGTTCTGCGCCAATAATATTTTATTAGGTTTAATAATAGCAAAGAGTTTCTGCAATAACAGAATAGATTAAAAAAGAAGAAGAAAAGATTAGCTGTTCGTTTTAGTTCAAATTAAAAAAAAAAAAAAACATATTCCTATCAACACATTTATTAACTCTTGACATTAAAAAAATAATAGTAATAAAAATATAAATAAAAATATATAAATAAATAAAAACATTACTTCTTGTTTATTTTCATTATTGTGGTAGTTGGGAAAAATTATTCCGTGCACACCGCATGCAAAGATTGCATGCGGTGTCTGATCTCCACTGTCGATCAATACTTTCGGTGGGATTCACACGCAAATTTAAAAAAAAAAATCTCACCGAAGCGCTGATCGACGGTGGAGATTATTTTAAAGCAGACAACTGAAATCGGCATTCTAATCTATGTATGAATATTCTTAGTGAAAAAATTTTCAAATAGGACCTTTATTAAATTACATAATTATCCCTTTTTTTTTCTAATTTTTGAACAGTTGGACGCCAACTTGGTTGTCTCAAGTCTTTGAACATATTTACGCTATATCCTGGTTATGTCTGACCTCGATTCAATCAATACATTTTATATCAGGGCTTTAGAAGTTTGAGGTGGCCTTCATTGAATGGTTCCCAAACAATTCATATGTTCCGATTGGTTCAAGTAATAATGTATATGTCAGCATTGACATCATCCATCACTCTAAATACTCTTTATTAAAATATGAATTTTGAAAAGAAACCGGCAGAGTATTTTGAATGGTTTAGAAGCGAAGGAGAGATTTTGCTTCCGCGCGTAAGCTTGCTTGTTGCGGCTATTTTCTTCTCTGTAAGCGAGGATTCCGTTCAGCAAGTTCTAGGGATTAATTCTTTCAGCGAAGAACAGGGATTCAGTTCAGTGGGGCACAAGAAACATGCTCTCTATTTCCCGAGGTTCACTCATTACCACCTTAAAATCTTTATTAATAATTTTTTATAACACCATTTCCTGTAAATTGGAAGTAATCTTTTGCTTGACTATAAATCTCAACTAGATTAGTCTTTTTTTGGAGAAACCACGTCTCCTATTTATAGAAGAAGGGGATATAATATAAGAAAATATATAAACTTTTAGGTATTCTACAGATATAGGCATTTGATTCGGCCAACTTGTGACGCAGTTGATTGAAGCTTGGCTTCGCTAATCGACTATACTAGTCAAGTTGACAGCTATTGATCCCTGGAAAAGGAACCCTCGGTAGAAAAATGCTAGATATTTGAACAGATGTTGTATCACAGCAATCCGACAAGTAACTTAATCTTCGTCGAGGCGATCCTTCATGTTTTTTTTTGCTTATGTGATGGCTATTTCTCGACCTCGGATGGGGTCCTCAGAGTTGTCTGTGAGAAAGCTGGTGATCTACATTCTTCCCTTGAATGTGGCTATGACGAGAGACAGGTCGATGCCCCCACTTAGCTAAATAGGCTTTGGTTTGGTCAGTTTTCACCCGATCGACATTCAACCTCAACTCAGAGAGGTTACACTTGGTTAGGCATATCTTTCAGTATTCCGTTGGTGAACACTTAGTTTTTTGGTGTTGGACTCTTAGTCTTTCTTCCTCTCATGGGCCCCTTAGCTTTTCATTTGTGCACCCTTGATGTTCCACAAGTTGGCCCTCCTTAAATGTACTTCTTTGTACTTGTTATCCTTTAGATTTTTTCGAGATTTGTACAAATGATTATCTAATGTATATATTTTAGTTCTCTAATTTTCTTACTTCTTGAAAATGCAGTTATGATAAGAATAAGGGAATTAAATGTGAAAAAAAATTCATTTATTTCATAATATGAGCATTTAATAATTGTACTTTCTGGATTTTTGTGACCATAAACTTTATAAATAGATCATGATTGATGCCTTGTCATCGCTCTTGCTTTTGTTTCTAGTGCTTTAGTCAGTCGGTTCCTACAACTCCTTCATGGCAAGTGTTTAGAAATTAGGGCGAAGAAAAACTAGAATCAACACAAAACAAGAAGAACACAGAGATTTAATGTGGTTAAGCAAAGATGTCTATCCAGGAGACACACTTGTTCAATCAAGAAACACACATCTTCACTCCAAGAGACTCCAAATTCTGTTATATGAGTCAAACTTAACAAATTTCCACCTTAGCGAATATCCAGCCCCTTAGGAGAAATAGATATACCTATCAAATCTCCACCTTGACAAATATTCATCCCCTTAGGAGAAATACATCATAGAGTTTCTTACGCTAAAGTGGGTTGGACAAAAATGTCGTCTAACAATTACAAACATTTAACAAGCTAATGAACACAACAGAATTAATTCAATAGAGGCTTGGTCAACATGAATATTTGTCCAAGCAATGTAAGAACTTGTTGATAGTATCTAGCTTGATCAACATATCTGCAACAATTTCATCATATGATTCAATAGAGTGAACTCCACCTACAACTGTACTCTCTAACAATTTATAAAAATTACCTGCAGTGATCTTTCCTATCATCACAGTCAATGCACCTTTAACAATTCTGATAGTTTTTCTATCCTCATCTGCCTTAGGAATAAAATCATTTATGTGTAAAGTGTCGAAGGAAATTAAAATATTCTTCAAATCTGGAATATGTCTTACATCACATAATGTTCTGACAATATCATCATACATTTTAATTCTAACTTTGTGAATATCAGCAATATTGTAACATTTATCATCACTCAAATAGACTAAACCAGAATCAGAAAACCTGTATGAAGTAACTCATTCCATGTTAGGTGTTATGCGATAAGTGTATCTTTAATCAAGAATTTATACATTCTTCAACTGAGTTGTTGTAACTGAAAGTGCATCACCATCACTATAATCTGTAATTTCACACTTTACCATATTTGCAGAATTGGAAGATACATCATATTTCTCATCAAACTGCTTTTTGAGCTTTGGACAATCTCTCTTCATATGTCCCGGCTCCTTGCACTTGTAGCAATGAATCGTTTTTCTACATTTAGGCTTTGACCTGGATATTCGCATTCTAGAACTCTCATTCTCTTCCTTCCTTCCACGATCCTGATTACCCTTAGTATATAAGCAATTACTATGCATTCTGCTTCTGCTGGTTGTGAGCCAACAAAGTTGCAGTAATCTCATCAATTTTAATTGTTTCTTTCTCATATGTAAGAGTAGTCACCAAATGTTCATAAGAGAAAGATAATGAACACAACAGAATTATTGCTCGGTATTCATCATCAATACTCACATCAATCTGCGCTAGATATGTGATTATTTAATTGAAGTCATTTAAGTGTTGTGTCAGATCAATGTCTGTCTGCATCTTCAGCCCATACAGTCTTTGCTTCAGATACATTTTATTTGTTAGAGATTTGGACAAACTGAGATTCCAATTTCTTTCATACTTCTTTTCTTCCATACTTCTTCTGAAGATTTCAGATTCATAACATGATACATAATCTCATCTGTCAGACATAAATGTATCGTACCTGTCGCTGGTAGTTGCAATTCTTCCTAATCTTCATCTTCCATATTATCAGGTTTCGTAGCTCGCAGAGCCTTCAAATTTCCTTGTTGTGCCAATAAATCTTTCACCCTTATTTGCCACAATACGAAATTCCCGGTTCCATCGAAATTCACTATCTTGAATTTTGCACTAGACATTGCTATTTGAAATTAATCTTGCAGCAAACTTTTCTTGTTCGTACAAAAGAATTTGGTCTAACTAATGCAAACACCTTTCTCGAAGCCTTTTCATGTTCTCGTGAACGCCTCAGTCAAACTCCATCTGTCGCAACTCCTCCTGCGACAAACTTGCAAACTCCGCTGATCGAACTCCTATGTTTACAAAATGATGCTCCTGTTCACAGTAACCGTACGCGAACTCCTCTTTTTTGCAAAACTGACAAACCACTCGACTGTCAACTTACTGTCGCAAACCCTCGATCGTGCGAATTTGCCAGCTGGAGTCGCGCAAAGTCTTCTGTCATGATCCTTCTCCTGTTACGTTGAACCACTTTTTGCGCTTAATTCCTTCACTTACGATCCTTTCGCAATCCTTTTCCTGTCGTGATCCAAGGCCTCAGCCTGTTTTTGCGGAAATTGTCGAGCGAATCGCCCCGCAAGATTCTTCTTTCTCAAGATCCTGGTCGCTGAAGTCGCTGTCGTCGCTGACAGAGGTCCCTCCGGCCTGTCACGAAACTCTTCAAAGCCCTAGTTACGAACTCACAAACTTCGCCAAAGCCAAACTCCAAACTTTACTTTTCCTTCGACCTTGCGTCATTCGCTCGAATTCCAAATCTCCTTCTTCGAAGTCATCCAGAGTCGCCGAACTCCAAACATTCTGAAGTCTTCGAACTCCACTATAGAATTCCTCGCTGGACTCCTCGAAGCCAAAGTCACTCTTTCACTGAATCTGAACCTCCAAATTGAACTTCATCGAAACTCTAGCCGCCAAATCTTCTTCTTTTTTCGCTAAAAAATTCTCTGTCTTAAAACCCCGCTTTGATACCGCTTGTTGAGAAAATAAGGCAAATAAAAATAGGAATTGACACAAAACAAGAAGAACACAAAGATTTAACGAGGTTCGGCAAAGATGTCTACATCCTCCGGAGCAGAGTGGCAAATTTCACTATTTTAGAGGAGTTTAGTACATACCCATAGGGTTGCACATCATATATATAGACATAACCCACAGATAAAATTACTAGCACACCCTCGCTCACCCAACAAACTTATCTCCTAGAGATACACCTCTTCACTCCAAGTGACTCCAAATTCTGGTATATGAGTCATACCTAACAGCAAGTGCGAGGAATTTTTAGACAATCCTTTATGTTGAGAAGGTCCTTTTTGCTACCTGAGTGTTGAGAAGGTCCTTTGGTTTTAGACGATCCTTTGTGTTAAGTGTTGAGAAGGTCCTTTATGTTGCCTGAGGCTCAGCCCCTTCCTGATGCAAAGAAGAAGTACAAGGGAGACAAAAGGTTTGCGAGGAAGATGGTGTCTGAGGGAAAGAAGGTGCTTTAGACTTATGGATTCACCCAGCACCCATTTATAACGTTTCTTCTTAGGTTCATTTCTAAAAGGAGGCCAAAGGGCAAGGACTACAAGAAGAAGTTGACTTTAAAGAAGCAGAAGGCAACCAATCCGGCATACGAAGTAAGGTCGTCTGATTCATTTCAAGGTTTTTAGAGGGAGAAAGACCAGGTAGAAGATAGGAGTAGAACGGGCAGCCAGGTTGTAGGAAAAATGACCCGACCTCCTCCAATAGCTCTGTCCAAAATGTTAATCCTAGTGCGTGAAAAACTACTCCAACCCCTTTATCTGGGGGTCAAGAAGTTGGTGACCGCTTCGTCGTCGGCTGAGGGATTGAGAATGGTGACAGCTCTGCAACCACCTGGTGAGAGCAGTTTGCCGCTTTAAATGACTAAGATGGATTAGCTCCTTAAAATGGGAGACTCATTCTTCATGGTTAAAGAAATTTTGTCTTTTTTTTGTACTTTTTATTATTTTTTTTATGTAGAAGAGGTGACCATATCATCGACTCACCATTGGGGAAAGATGGTCAGGGCTAAATTCTAAGATTGGTTGTACGACTCTGGTGGTAGCTCGGAGTGAGGATAATGTGGTGAACCTTTTGGTTAGTCCTCCAATGACCCATGGAGAGGACAACAAAAGATAGAGGATGTCCCCTAGGTCGCTGGCTCACCGTCTAGAGGAGATGGAAGACTTCTACTTTTGGATTGTTGATGAACAAATGGATGAAGAAATAAAGGAGTTGCAGAAAGAGTTTGCGGCCCTTTGGGAGGAGCAGGCAGACATTCAACCAGCACTAACAGACATTAGGGAAACTTGCTCAATTTTCTAGGGAAGGTTGAAGCTAACAATGTGGATAGATTTAAATTTGATGCTCAAGTGTTGTGCAAAAAGCTGCTTATGTGAGGATTTGTCTCTATGGAAGCGGAAGAAGAACCAACTATAATTTTTTTCGTTTTTGAATAAAATTTTGAGTTTAATGTTTTCTCACATGAAATTTAATTTTTGTAATTATTTTCTCTCAAAAAACTATGTTGATGTGATACACTTTTTTAAAATAGAGGTATGATGGTGCTGCTTCCCTGGGGGCGAGGGATTGGAGTTTCAAGCTACTTTCTCTTATCCTTCACTCGCTACTTTCTTTGTCTTATCCACTTTTTTTTTCTTTCATTTGTATGTCTACAAAGCACCCACCCAATAACTTTAGATTGATTCTAGTGTTCGTGAGGTTAGTCATGTTGGCAATGGATGTGGCCTTGCTCCAAGAAACCCATGTCTTCGAGGATTTGATTTCGCTTGAAGCCACCAAGAGTTATGACTGTGAAACTAATTTGTTCAAGGGAGACTTAATTTTTATAGAGACCAAATCCAATGGGGGCTCCATCTTCCATTATGTCATGAGTTGAGGTTCATAATCAATTACTATGAAGTCATCTTAACACAGATCAAGCTGAACTCCATAGTGACAATCATGACCTACATTATATGATGTTGGTAAGTTGGGGTTCCATGGTCTTTGAAGTTATTTTCCTATACTTTCTCTTTCAAAGATGATCCAGATGGCTACATTCAATTCAGTTTGACTAAGAAGTTCTAGCTTATGGGATTTGATAACAAGATCATGGATTGAAAACTCTAACTCTTCCTAGGTTCTTATTCTGTCATTGGAGGATTCAAATAATTTTGATTGAAGATGTATATAAGAAGAAGTTTGTTCCTCCTCAGACTTGGTGTGAGGCAGAGCAAGTGGTATGAATGCGGTGATGTGGGACAATTTGGATGCCAAAGAGACCCAATGCGAGGTAGTTGAGGTGGCTAAGGTTTCATGGAAAAATTCATGGAAGAAAGCCACCCCTAGATGGTGTGCCCCCAGACTTTGCCTAGGTCGATGAAAGTACTGAAGGAGCGGACTTGATATATTATATCTTTGACACCTCAATGGTGATTCAACGAGTCTCAGCAAGAGAGCTGACATTAATTGAGAGAAAATTTAAGACTTCCTAGATGGCTGTAAGGGACTCTAAGGTGTAGCATCGAGTGGATAATCAAACCCTGAGTGTTCTGGAGAGCAATGTTGAGGAGTTTGAGTCATCAGAGGAAGGGCCTGAAACAGAGCTAGTGACTCCTCAACCAATCACTAAGAGTTTCTTGCCACTATCTGAGAGAGGGGAAGCTAACTGCTTTCTCTTATGACTCAATCTAAGCATGAGCTAGAGAAATAACCTATAAATTTTATATAATAGGCTCATTGTTGAAAGGGGAAAGCTCTGGCTATAAATTTTATATAATAGGCTCATTGTTGAAAGGAAAAAGCTCTGGTTAGTGACTCGAGTGCTCTGCCTCCTTCCCCTCCAAGGAAATAAAGAGGGGGAGCCCCTACTATGTTGATTCCACTACAGTCAAAGAGTGAGAACATGAGAAACAATTCTAATTGTCAATTCTCCATGCTCAACTTGAACAGAGATTGGTACATTAATTCCCCTATTATGGTTGAGTACCCTTGCACTCTTGTTGAGGTAATTTGATCCCATGTCTTCGAGAAG